CTCCTCATAGTTAGGCACTCCTGTGTGTCCTGCATTTCCTCCCTGCACATGTTGCCCCTCTGGTGCCCGGTGGTCAAGTGCTCCAAGGGCTGTATTTCCATAGAGTATGTGGGTGCATCGCCCTGGGTTGAGTGGTCTCTGTGTACGTCTTGTTTTATTCCAGGCCCAGAATGTATCCCTGGGCCATAGTTTTGGGGGTCTCACCAGACTCCATCCGACCAGTAATTCTGGTCATTACTGAGTTTTTGGATTTTGTTCCATGCTTTCCCTCCCACTCTATCCAGGATCTCCAGATTTGATCCTTTCCTGAGTGGTTGGCTTCGGTAGCTGGGCACCATCTAGTTCTTCTGGTCTCAAGGGCCGTCGTGTCCGAGGGCTGATTGCTTCCAAATGCCCTTGGTTTTGGCACTCTTCTTCGCTTCCAATGATAGGAGGCCATTAACTACATCTTAGATGGCCTCTTGAAAGCTTTTAAGATCCCATTCACTACTCACCAATGTAGGATGAGGAACAAGACTTTTATGTATTTTGTTGTGCCAACTGAGTCTGGCATCACTATATTCCTGTGACCTCATTTGAAATCTTTGGGTATGAAGTAACTTTTAAAAAAAATTTTTAGTCTTAATCTTTACTACTCTCCTCCCCTAACATTAAATTAAAAATAAATTCTATTAAACTATAGGAGAAAACTATAGTGTAATGCTTAACTGCTCGGGCCCTTGGATTTCTGGGCGCCACCACATAAATTGGACGAGTAAATGAGTCAGTGCCTCAGTTTCTTGGTGAGGATAATAATAATACCTGCCTTACAGGGTGGGTGGGGGGAATGAAATAATATCTGCATTTAGCACAGGGCTAGCCATTGTCAATACTTAGTAAATGTTTTTATTTTTGAACTGTTTCTATTTCTCCATTTGCCCTCTCCATCTTCAGTATTATGTATAATTTGTGTGTGTATACAAATACATAGGAGCCCTTGGGTGGTGCAAATGGGTTAATGTACTCTGTTGTTTGAATCGACCCAGAGGCACGTTGGAAGAAAGACCTGACAATCTACTTCCAAAAGTCAGCCATTGAAAAGCATAGCTGTGCTCTGAGATATGTGGGGTCACCATGGGTCAGAGGTGACTTAGGATTTACTGGCTTATGATGCATGCCACATATATCACATATATACACCCAATGCCATTGAGTCAATTCCAACTCATCATGACCCCCCTTGAGATTCCAACACTGTAAATCTTTACAGAAGGAGATCATCTCATCTCCCTTCTGTGTAGCAAATGGTGGGTTTAGCAGCAAATGCTTTACCCACTCTGCCACGGAATATATATATATATCATACATCCACCACTTGTCTCACCTGTCAGTTTGTTGTACTTTGGTCATGTTGTCAGAAGGTACCAGTCCCCGGAGAAGGATAGTGCCTAAGGCACTTGACTCTTAACCAGAAGGCTGGCAGTTCAAACCCACCAGCCACTCCTCGGAAGGAAGATGGAACAATTTACTTCTGTAGTGGTACTGCCTCGGAAGCCCAAGGAGGGGTCGCTATGAGTCGGGTCCGACTCGACGGCACATAACAACAACAACAAAGGTCAGTGGAAAAGGGGAAAACCCTTAAAGAGCTGGATTGACACTGTGACCTGCAACAACGGGCTCAAGTACTGCAAGGATTTTGACGTTGGCACAGGACTGGGCAGTGCTTTGTCTGTTGTACATAGGGTCGCTGTGAGCTGGAGTCAACTCCATGGTGCCCAACAAGAAGAAGACAAACCACACAGATTATAATCTAAGACACAGGGTTTGGGTTTGGTACTTGGAAGGAATTTATAGATCAGATTCAAATCTCTTGTTTTTCATGTGGGTCTATACGTATGTTCGTATTCTTTCTGTTAGAGGGGTCAAGTGATCTGGTTAGTGATAGGAATGCCATGCAAACCTGGGATCGTTGGCTTGGGGCTGCATTGTTTCTACTTTTCTTCTATTTAATGTTATTCACTTAAAATTTTCATCAGAATGCTTTCCTCTCAATATCACGAAAAGCTCTGCAGACTTTTTTGGTTCTTAGGAAATTGTGATATTACAATAATGAGGCTTCTTTTCCTAATTGCTGATTGCTCCATAAATTAGGCGTCTATCTGACTTTCAGGAAAACCCAGTCACTGTCAAAGTGGTGAGCCCCAAGAATCCACTTCATGAAATAGACACATCCTTCGTGTGGTACCTTAACACATCTCAAATATTGATTTCACTAACATATGCGCTAACATCAGAGCCCCAGAACAAGAGCTCAGCTCTATTTTATACCCCATCACTGACTCACAGTAAGATCTTGGGCAAGTCACTTGACCTTCTTATATTTCAGTGTGTCAAACCAGCCATAAAACTGAGTAAAGCATGACCTCATTACAGACCCAATATACTTGAAAGCTACGATGTCCTTTGATACATGAAAGAATTACCAAAAGAGAACTCCAGCTGGTAAAATTTGGACACTCTGAATAATGAATTTGACTATATCAAGTAAAATTATTCTTTTAGAAATATACAGTTTTTAGCAGAAAAAGTCACGGAAAACAATTTCACTGTATTTTATTTGGAAAATAAGGTTAAGTGACAGAGGAGAAATCCTATTTCAGAGAATGCCTGAATCAAAATAATTATATGGAACTGAAGAGTATTAAGAAGCTAGTTAGTGGACGCTTAATAATTGGACACACTTCATTTCTAGGCCATTATTTTCCTCTACTTATACAATGCATACCATGCTTTAAAAATGTGTTTAACTAACTACGATATGAAAAGCTCGAGAGAAAGGATACAAATATGGTCAGAAATGAAGGAGTTTTAATGGTGTGTTTGGCCATTTAGACATTATAGCTCACTGGATTTTATTCTTTACATTGATATTAGTTCTCTTCCCTCTATTTCATTTCCAGCTCTCCCATAAATATGTACACTTTGTTCCCACTCAGGTTTTTCCCCATGAGCCCAAGATTATTATTATGACTTTTTTTTTGGGTAGATTTATAAGGTGAATGATGTCCTTCTCATTTGCTAGGGCAGGGCAACCCCATTCTCTAACTTGCTACTACAACTTTTATTTATTTTTCTTTTTTAATTGAACAGCAGGTTCACCCTTTCTGCAGCATTCCAGAAGGAACATCAGAAAGAAGCGCAGCCCCATAGATGCTGATATACTGTCTGAGGTTATCCTGAGAAGTCCTGTAGCATTTGCAGTGTGCCTCAACATTTTACATTCGTTCAAAACGTCTTTCTGCAGACTTGGTCAAAGCCAGACACAAACAGAACTAAGCAAAGCCCTTTGGAGCAGGGCATGTCAATCAAACACTTTGCCACATTCTCTGAAAGCGAAGCAAATGATAACTTGCAACTGTTGCCCTGACCTTGTAAACAAAAGATCAAATTCTGTGTTCTGCCTTGGCAAGAAAAGAAACTGCAGCATTTTGTCACGATTTTTTTTTTTTTTTTCCTTTACAAGTTTTGGGCTTCAAACGAATGATTGAAATGATCTTTCTTTCCACTTCATAAAAAACTTGAAAACATGGTAAATTTAAAGATACTATTTTAAAAAGGAATACAACTAACATTGTAGGTTAAAATACGGTCTCCCTTCCTTCATAGTAGAGGCAATTACTCGTGCGCTTCAGTTGTAATCAAGGGGATTCTATTTTTTTTAACTTCTTCTTTGTTTCTATCGATTTATGAATAAAGTTTTTGATCTCTCTCAAGACCAGGAAAATTATTATTATTATTTTTAGCACAGGTTTTAAGAACTATAGAAGAAGCATAGGTAAATTAATTTCAGCAAGTCTGGAGCCAGAATGAATAGTATTTTCCGCAGAAAAAAGAACAAAAACAGTAGGGAAGAAATGTTACTCAAACATACTAAAATTTATTCAGTGGAAACGTAAAAACATTAAAGTAAGACCGGCTAAGCTGGTATGAGCATGACACGGAGTCAACAACTGTGCAGATAGAAATTGCACAGATACTGCTTCATATTTTAAAAAAAGCGTCCGACCCATTTCTTCCACGAGGAAACCTGTAGCCCAGCCTTGCCCCCTCCAGCCCCTGGCGGCTGAAGGTGTGCGGTCAATTCCTCTGCCTCCATCTGCTCGCAGCTCCCGAAGCAGTACTTTGCCCTCGCGGAAGCCGGGGGCGAGGGCCGAGCAGCGCGCTGCTGCCCCGCTCCGGCGATTTGAGCTGTTGGGGGTGTGTGTGGGGGTCACACATATATGTGGATGGGGCCGGGGTAAGGGGCGCACAGCATTCCCTAGTCAGGACCACTCGCAGGCCCGGGTCATGCAGTCTTTCCGCCCGGCGCCGAGGAGCCCCTCGGAGCACCTGCCCCGGACCCGCGCGCCAGACTCCGAGTCCTTCCGACCCCCTCCCGGGCCTCGGCCGACGGCGGCGGCGGGCGCGCAGGGGGC